CCCCCCCCAGTGGAGCGATGCCCTTGGCGCCGGACAAGTGATTCTCCCATCCTTTCTGGCTGCCCCCTGTCGCCCTTGCCCTTCTTAGGGGCCACGGCTGGAGTCCAGGCTCGCCCGGCCGCTTCCATTGCCAGCACCCTAACCGAGAAGGCAGCGCGTCTCCCCTGAGCACGTGCAGAGCGCCTTTCCTCACCGCGGACTAGCCACGCAGCAGCTGGGGCGCTCGGTAGGGGTTTCTCCGCCACTTCTCCACTCCCAGCGCCTGGCCTGCCACGCCAGCTTGGGGAAAGCCCACTGGGAGCTGTCCAGGGTGCTGCCCCCCCCCCCCTTCACCCTCCTCCTGCTCTTTCTGGGCACGAGGAACGCTGGGGAAAGGAGGACCGGCCCAGGAAGGGGTGGGAGGTCAGCGAGGCTCTGCACCCTCCCCCCCTTCCTCTCTTTTTAATCCATTTGGTGGTGCTGGGGCCTTCAGGGTCAGGTGTTTCTTTTGCATACTTTAGCCCTTCCAGATTCAGAAACCTTTATTAGGCATTTATGACAAGTTGCATCACCGAGATCAGACAACGTCAAGAAAGAACACCAATGAACCGTCATCGACTTGAAAGAGAGAAGAAAGGAAATTATCCAGAATGATTGGCAGTCGGTTCTCAGAGCCCGGTGGCAGCTAGGAGAGACCTCAGCCATTTGAATAACAATACGAGGGCTCCGGTCAGATAGGCCTTATGGAACCAGCCGCTTATCTGCGTGGCCTTTAAACTTGGTGCAAAAGAGGCCTGATGAAAGAGTTCCTTGAATCAGTATGAAAATTACAATAAAGCAAAACGTGAGATAAGAATCCGGGAGCTCTAGCGCTGCACGGCTTTAGCCCTTATAGACGCAGTTGTGTGAGAATGCCAGCATTAAAAAAGATCGGGGGGGGGGGGAGTTTTTCAAAGTTGCTCCTCGACCCCATCCTATCGGGCTTCTAGTCCTTTTCCATCCGAGTCCTTTTGGGCTGGGATCGACAGAGGCGAGGCTTGCGGTGGTTAATTAATGGCATTCTTAGAGGCACCCGGTCCCCATTACAATCAACACTAAAGGTAAAGGTTCCCTTGCTCGAAAGCCAGTCAAATCCGACTCTAGGGTTGCGGTGCTCATCTCCGTTTCAAAGCCAAAGAGCCAGCGCTGTCCGAAGACGTTTCCGTGGTCATGTGGCCGGCATGACTAAACACCAAGGTGCACGGAACGCTGTTACCTTCCCACTGAAGTGGTACCTATTTATCTACTTGCAATTTCTTGCTTTTGAACTGCTAGGTTGGCAGGAGACAATCAACACTACAGGGTCGAAATAGGTTTGGGGGGGGTTAAGCCGCGAACCCCTGCTCTTTCCCTTGTTTCCGTGCCCTGGTTCCCCTGGGTCCGGCAGTGAAACCAAGGGACAGTTCCATTTATGATATCAAAGCAAGAATTGATCCGTTACCACCAGCCAGGGGAAAAGAGGGCAGGAGAGCTTGGCATTCCAGGCCTGGGGGCACCCATGACTGGCTGGCTGGGTTTGCTGTTCCCTCTGGAAGGGTGGGTGTTCTTAGTCCCACCCCGCAGTGGAGAGGCCACCCCCACAATTGCTTTTTTACCGTGGCTGAGCAACAACCGGGATTACTAACAAGGGAGGCAGAAATGGCCCCACACGCTTACAAAGGTGTTCCTTCTTCCATCCCGTTAGGAAGCTTCAGGACACTAGCTCAAAGAAAGGGCGGCCCTGGAGGGGTGGCGCAGTGTGTCGGGCAGACAAGAGCATCCCCCCCCCCAAAGTCTTGATTGCCCAGTATGTTCCTGGGGATTTGTGCCCGGGTTTGTGGCCGTGTAGACCTTGCTGACTCGGTGGCCCAAGCAGAGCTGGTGTGCTGACCCTCCCCCCTGTGTCCTTTTTGTGCCCCCCCCCCCAGGAAGTGACCTGCCAATATGCGCCAGTTGCAGCAACAGCATCTACGACGGTCAATACTTGCAGGCCTTGAACGCCGACTGGCACGCCGATTGTTTCAGGTAGGGGCTGCCTGAGATGGCCGGGGGAGGACTGGGGGCCTGACTGGTGTGTAGAGCTAGACAGGGCAGTGCCCTCATCTCTAGCCTGGAGTTAGGAATATCAGAGTAGTCTAGCATTAGGACATCAGATGTGTCCGCTTGGATCAGACCAAAGGTCCATCTACCTCACTATCCTGTTTTCAACAGTGGTCAACCAGATGCCTCTGATAAAGGATATCGATGGGATTCAAAGCCCTTTGGTTGTCTCCCCAACACTGGGTAATTAGAGATATACTGTCCCGGAACAAGGAAGTCCCATTGAGCGAACACGTTTCCTAGTTGCCAAGAAATCTTATCTTCTACGATGCATTTGTCTGATCCTTCTTTATTTAGAATAGAGGTCTTCTAACGTGATTGTTTCTGAGTTCTGCTACTGTGAAGATGGACAAAATGTTTTAAAAGTGGGCACAGTGGGTTCTGTACCCCTGGTGCAGTGTAGTCTTAGAGTCTGTAACTCATGCTGCGGACATACAATCTAGCTAATCAAGCACTGGATAGCAGACATGTATGTGCACACTCTTTGTACATCAGGTCAGCTGCCCAACTTTAAAGAAAAACAAACCTTTTCAAGGATCACATGTGCATCCTTGCATTCAGATGCCTCTCTTTCACCTGCTTTTGAAAGGATTCCGTCTTTTTAAAGAATTGTGGGAAACCTTGTCCACACTTTGGAGGAGGAAATTGTATCGGTGACATCACTGGCATGAGCCAACAGGTGCTGTTTTTACGGCTGGCTTTCCCCCCTCCCCTTGTTCTGACTGCACCATCAGATTTCCAGAGCTTGCTTTAACCTGGGAGAGGGGAAAAGGACATTTCTACTCAAAGCAGCAGGGGCTCTTTCGGACTACCCCCATGGGTACCGCTGACTTCATCTGAGGTTCTTTGACATAGTCACAGCACAACTGATTTAGCATTGACCTGGAAGTGGAGAGGGAAGGTGCCACACTCCAGTGGGCTGTGGCTTTGTGTCTCATTGATGCCTTGGCACCTCCTTGGGTCTTACCAGATCTCAGTCTGTGGGTCGGATTAGTGTAGGGGTGGGTCATCTCAGTGCCCGTGTGGCTTGCACCAAGGGTTGCCAACCTCCAGAGGAGGCCTGTCATAATCCCGAAATTACAGCTGCTCCACAGACTACAGAGGGGAAACTGGAGCTTTGGAAGGCAGACCTTGAGGCCTCACATCTTCGATGAGCTTTCTCCCAGATTCCACCTGACCCAGGGGCTGCCCCCAAACGTCCAGGGATTTCTCAAGCCCGAGTTGGCAACTGTGCTTGTACCATATAAGCTTCCATTTGAAGGAAACTTCCTGAGTGTCACTTTTGCATGCCTCCAGCTTCCTGTGAGGAACTGAAAGCCCACTGCTCCCAAAGGTCAGAATGGGATCCGGTCGCAGGCAGTGTTCCCTCTAAGCTGTGGAGTCCTGTGAGCAAAAACTCTACTCTGTGAGCTACTGGCATCAAAGTTGTCAGCGAGCGATGTGGCTGCTGCATCACTTAGTTTGCTCTGGAGCCCTCCTTCCTGAGCCAAGGCAAAAATGTGTGAGCCGAAGGCTAAAAAACTGTGAGCTAGCTCACACTAACTCAGCTTAGAGGGAACACTGGTCGCAGGTGAGCCTGACCACGGGGTCTGAGGCAGAGTTGTGTTCTTCCAAGCAAATGGGCTGCCTTGCTGGGTAATCCATTCAACTAAGTGGCGGTGACTTGTTAATTCCGTTCTGGTGTGTTTCCATATTTGGGGGACGCCATTTCTGCAAACAGGAAGCTGTAGGATCTCAAACGAAATGGCGTGTGCGACTTGCACTTCCTTGAATGTCTCAAAACGGGACCAATCGATTGAGGGCTACTGGTGGTAGGGAATTGTTCAGCGTAACGTGCAGAAGGACAACACTCACTGCAATGAGTAAAACCTTATTATATTCCGCCGAAAATATACATGTCTCCCATACATACATCGTGGTGGGTGCTGTTCTTTTTCGGTTTAATCCGCCACGAATCCGGTCTTCTCAATTTCACTGTAGCGTGCAGCGATTACAAGTGACTTGTGCCAGCAAGCCAAGTCAGAAGCTCCTGGGGGTGTTGGAAAGCATCAGGCATGGCTCGATTAGCCAGGCCACCTGGACCTTGCTGCTCAGCTGGGAGTGAAAGCCTGCTCCCAGCTTTCATGTGCTGGGGATGCAGGCTGCAGCACCTCCGCTCTTTGGTGATGCTGTGTTCCCCCACCTCCCTCCGCACTTTGGCGCTGGGATTATAAACAGTGGTTGAGCTAATTTGTCAAGCAGGGAGATCCAGCCAGGCTGTCCCTGCACGTCCAGCACGGAGCTGACTCCGAAAGCCCAACCCTGATTGTTTGGACCGCGAGCTTCCTCTCTGTTTATGCGGGGTACTGTCTCTGCCTTCTCTCGCCCACACTAAGAGGCTAGCTTGCGTTAACAGCAGAGGCGCACTGGTGTGCCTGCAGTGCTGTGGCGGGCATCCTGCGCATGCTGTTGATGTGCGCCTGCGATGTCACAGGGTCCAGAGGCTGAAATTGCATGCTTGCTCTGGGATGGGGTGGGGAAACCTCAGGGAGCGCATACCACTTTGAGGAAGATCCTCATGCTCCAGTAATGGAAGGATGCGCTCTCTGGCCCCTCCCTTGTAAGAGCAGTTCCTGAACATACCCAGAGCACAAAGCTAGCTGCGGGACTCCCAGGGGACAGATTAGCCAGGGCCAATGATGTGCAGAGAGGCGGGCAGTCACAGAGGAAGTGCCGTGCGTGTGTGTCCCGTTGTGATTACAAAGCAGCTTCCTGCCCGGGGGATGGGTAGGCTGGTGGAGGCCTGAGAGTCAGAGCGGAGCGGTGCGAGCAGCAGACAGGAAACGGTCGGTCTGGTCCTTGCTCAGGCAATTCCTCTCTTGGTGCTGTGAAGTTAGAGAAAAGAGCTGGAGTCCCTTGAGGTGTGCGCCGGGCCCAAGCCTGCCTTGGCGAGGCCGAGGAGGCTGTGCCGTAGGCCCTGCATTCGGGGTGGCCGGCGGGTGGGTGGCAAGGAGGAGATCCCAGCCAAGAAGCTGACCTCGGCGCTCCGGAGTAGCCCTTTCCTGTTTGCAGGAGTCAAGTAAGTCTCTGCCAGCGTTTGTACCGTCTGGGAGAAATTCAGCTCCCCGATTGTCCTCGGGTATGGGGTTCAGCATGAGAAGCGCACCACGGGGTCTGCCCTCGGTGGGTTCAGCATCCCGTTTCTAGCAGTGGCCCGTTGGATGCCCCAGTGGGAACCTCATAGTTGGGACATGAAGATAGCCTTGTTTTGTTTGTTACGGCATTTGGTATTCAGGGGTATACTGCTTCTGAACCTTCTGAACATGGAGGCTCTAGTTGGTCAAAACTGTTAATTGGATTGGTGAGAGGTGGAGTGTCAGCTCTTGAGCGTGGAGCTGTGATGGGGGTGGGATATAAGCCAGCCCCCCTCCCAGTACTGTCTCAATTCCATGCACAGCCCAAGTCTATTATCTTGAGCTCGAATTTTAATTTTTTGCCATTAAGTCACAGTCGACTTATGGCGACCCCACAGGGTCTCCAAGGCAAGGGACGTTCAGAGGCGGTTTGCCATTGTCTGCCTCTGCATAGCGACCCTGGTATTCCTTGGAGGGCTCCCATCCAAATACAAATGAGGACGGACCCTGCTTAGCTTCCAGGATCTAATGAGATCAGGCTAGCCTGGGCTATCCAGGTCAGGGTGAGCTTGAGATGCATGATAACAAAACTGAAGTGTGCAAGAGAGACATTGTTGCCTGGGATGTAGGCACTCGTCTATTTATTTCCTTTGCCCTCGACAAGTTTTTTTTCTTTCTTAAGTATCCGAGAGTACACTTTTATTGTTTTTTTACATTATATACTACAAACATACATACAGACAACACCCAACTACCCCCAACAACATATAACATATACCAAGAGACTTTTATCACTTCTTCTGCTGATTAAATTTCTAAATTCATTATCTATTTTACTAAGCTTATCTTTTCTGCGTTCTCAAATTACTACATTTATCTACCAGTTGCGTTTACATTATACCAATCATAGAATCTCTTCCAAGTTTTTTGAAAAGTCCATTCTGTGCCGGCTCTCATCTCAAGTGTCAGTTTGTCATTTTTCGTCGTTTCAAATAGTTTATTCATGTATTCTTGTTTCGTTGGTATTTCCATTATTTTCCAATATTTGGCATGCCCTCGACAAGTTTTGTGGGTTTTGCAAAAACAGCCCCCCCCCAAACCTATAAAACCTGTTTGACCAGAGATGATCAGAAGGTGAACATACACATGCTAGGCAGTCAAGCCTCTATCAAATCATCTTCTTGGCAGCTGCATCCCCCCAAACCCAACTGATACCTCTTTAGAATCTCTGGACTTTGGTGCCGTAAAAAAAATATATCAAGAGTCAAAGGGGTGCATTCCACTTAGTCTCCGAATAGGTTTGGCAGGTTTCGTTGTTCTGAAAACCTGCAGCACCTGCTTGACTCAAAGAGAAAGTGTGGCAAAAGACAGCAGCGGGAAGCAAAACCATTTCCACTTCCCTTCTAAAACTCTTGCCTCTTCCCAGCCGCAGAGAGCTCCTGGCCTTGTCCTCCGTGGAGGCTTTTTGTTGGCAGAGAATCTGGAGTTCTTTAATTTATGATTGCCTTGCCAGCCGGACAGCAGAGACCCGCTTACGTATGCAAGTGAAGTTCACCCTTCGTTGTCCTTTCTTGCCAGTGCCAGATTTGCTATTTAAAATGCTTGGTGGAGTGCTGCTGCTTGGGCCGTCTTGTAGGGTAGTTATGCTGTCGATGATTCTTTCGAAAGAGGAACTTCAGCAAAAGAAATGACAGGTCCCTGCCTGAAAGTTATGACAAGTTGCATTTCAGCCAAGGGACAGAGGAAAGGAGGAGGGGGGAAAGGAAGAGGAAGGGCAGAGGGAAGGGGCAGCACAGAGCAAATTACTGTAAT